AGGGATTGAGAAGGAAACTTGAAAAGCTTTTTTAGAAACTCTCCGTAAACATAGTAATTCGTGGCGATGACATAGTATCTCGTGCGCACGATATAAATTAAAACGTACTTGTAAATGTCACCAGCACAGTCATGTTTTGGTTCTTATTCATGGTTCTGTTGGAGGACAACTAAATATTAAGCAAACAGTATGCTTTAAATAACACAAATTGAGGTATAATTATTTTTCAACATATACATTTGTGACGTCATGACTTGATGACGTCACGATGGAGAGGGTTATGAATAGTTTAAAATAATGTGAACTATACTGTAGACTAGTATTATTGAAAACTTATAATTTGTACAATTGGTGAGTTCGATTTCATTGCCAGCATGTGCTAGTGGTACATTTTTATTTATTAATAACATAGTAGACCTTCTTTCTGAATCTTTTAGATATATATAATTATCTTCAATCAAGATATAAATTATATCAGTTTGACTCATTTTTGTTCTTAATCTTATTGAAATTTGATTGTGTTCAATAGATATTTCAAGCTCTTGATTACTTGATTTTAAAACCGGAATCAAATATAGAGCATGCAAATGAACGTTGCTAGGGATGTTTTTGTCGTAAGATTTATCGTAAGTGAATTGTTTATCTTAAGATAAAATTTTAACTTACGAGTGGCTTTGTGAAAATGACTTAAGATTTAACTTACGATTATCGTAAGTGAAAAACTTAAGATAAATCGTAAATTTTTTGTGAAAATGTCTGCTGTACTTTATACTAATTAAATCGTATCGTTTATATTGGTAATAACCATAACAACAAAGGTCGTACGAATATCGTTAAAGCTTTTATGTCGCGGTATTGTTTGACATACAAATTGCCGTGATCAGCAGTCCATGAAATATTCAACCATGCATTTTAAATGTGTGTATTTACAATACGCGATAATCCAATACCCAAAGACGTGATTTGACAGGTATTAAGTCTACCCGACACGTGTTTATGTATTTTATCTATAACTACGTATAAATATTATACAGGAAGGATTTGGTGATTTATTTATCCACAGTAAGTCAAATATTGCTTTATTTTGTTACATATTACATCGATACATGGTCGATATTTTTGTTAAACTATGTTCTATACGGAAACCATTGGATACTGTTGTCTGAATTTGTCATAATGAGTCACATGTATACATACATGTATAATTTATGTTTGTTTATCCGTGATACCAAAACAAAAGATTTACTTTCCTGTACAAGTCAATCTGATGATTATATATGCTAAATTTTTAGTTATAATTTATGTAAAATCAGAAAGGTACACGCGTAGTACATACCCTGTAATGATGCAGGTGATATGTACAGATATACACCTGGTAAAAAAATTGTTCTTCAGTCAATTTACATTAATATTAATACATTGGAGGTGGGTGGGGACTGCGAATGATATTGAATATGTCAAAGATGATAATTACTAACAGGGGCATATTGAATATACCGGTGGAGCATGTCCATTATGATAAATACTTAAAGGGATATATTGAATATAATGTATTCTACTGGGAGCATACTGAATATAATTTATTCTTCTGTAAGCATTATTACAGAGTATGATATATTCTAGTGAGATCATAATTATTGCGTATAATATATTATATACTGGATATTATATATATTCTACTGGGAATATTCTACTTGGAGCATGTTGAATATCATATATTCTACAGGGACCATACTGAATATTACATTATTTACTGAGAGCATAATGAATATTGCATGTTTTACTGTCAGCAGATTTAACATGATATTTTTTAAAGGGAGCATGTCAAATATTATAAATTATACAAAAAAGCATGATTTGTACTTTTCAAATTTAATGCTTTTTCAAAATTTTCAGGAGGCTATCTTATTTTTATTCTACAGTAGTAAGAAAACTGACCTATTGTTTAGCAGTAACGAGTAACTACCCTCTGGTCAGTGCCGATGTACTGTCGATGTTCATACGCCATATGTGCCGCATCATGACAAAACCAACATAGTGGGTTGGCGACCAGCATGGATCCAGACCAGCCTTCGCCTCCGCGCAGTCTGATCAGGATCCATGCTGTTCGCTATCAGTATCTCTACTTGTAATAGGGTTTGTAAGCGAACAGCATGGATCCTGATCGGACTGCGCAGATGCGCAGGCTGGTCTGAATCCATGCTGGTCGCAAACGCATTACGTTGGTAATGTCGTGACGCGGCTCATGTATAATACTACATATAGCTTGAAGTACAGAGCAATATACCAGACATGTTGACTTTATATAATATGTGGGGTAAAACATCAATAGAAATTTTCATTAGTTTACACATGAATCGATAAGCGGGTTTTATGAATATTTAAAATTCACATTAAATTATTCATAGATGGATAAACACGACCTATACGTGTCACATCGTTTCGTTTATATCACCACATATTTCAAGCACATTTCTATAGTTTAAGTTGTTCAAAATTCACATAAAATTATACTTTTCCTTACCACAAGGTGTTTTAACGTCGGCAGTTTTACATTAAAATGAGTTGAACATTTTATTGACAAGTTTTACTTGTATACGATATGGTTTATAATTATCTGCTCACTTTCACATATAAATCTAATAATAAAGAAACGCGATATTGAAGTATGAGTGGCCCACTGACTAGTCGAACCTTTCCTTTCTTACATACACGGGAATTAACACAGTGACATTAGACACATTTAGATACAAGATATTTAAAGGGTTGCGAAATCTGCAAGCCTGTTTCATTAAAGCAGCACGCCTCCAGATTCCAGCTAATGTTCATTCATTTTTTGAAACTGTATTAAAAAGTATAATATTGTGAAGTGAACAAAGCAAATAGTATACACGTTGCGAACGGCACTTACAAAAATCCACGTAAATTGCTAAAAAGAGGTCAACATGTGCAAAAAAAAAGCCCTTACTGCTTTACTAACACAGTAAAAATATGGTGAAAAATCGGCCATTTATCACATATAACATAGACATTATTACTTATGTATTCAACTTTTGTTTTTACTTTTCATAAATTCTCAATACATTTTTCTCAAGTTTGATTTCTTGAAATATTTTGCCTCATCTGCAGCTTTATAGTGACATTGTGCCAGTCCAAGGGTATATAGTGAATAGACAGGTGAAAGTCTAAATAAGTACATGTATTATGTTTTGTCATTATTCCCCTTAATTTTATCATTTACTTCGCACGAACGACAAATAACCTACGGGGTCCAATGAAATTCCCGTAAATATCCTTCGGAATTTACATGTAACATTCAACTTATAAAACGGGTGGGAAAGGCTTTTTACACGTTGGGCAAATTTATATTTTATCGTCAACATTTTCCAGTAACAGTCAATCTTTTGAAATATGTAGTCAATTCTACGGAAGAGCATTAGTGCCAGGTGTATGTTTTTTACTAATTCGAAATTTCGAGTTACTAACTCGAAATTTCGACTTACTTATCCCGAAATTTCGACTTAGTAACTCGAAATTTCGAGTTACTTATCTCGAAATTTTGAGTTACTATGTCGAAATTTCGACTTACTAACCCGAAATTTCGACTTAGTAACTCGAGATTTCGACTTATTCAGATTACAAGAATGGCCAAAGTTGTTGATGATATAAGATATAGATGATATAAGATATAGTAGGGAGTGCCGTTGAACGTTGGAGATGGAGAAACGGGTGCCTGGACAAAAACTATTGAAATTTAACTTAAACTTAGTAATGGCATGTACACACCAGACCTAAAAACACAAGGCTTCCTTTAATTTGTACGTTCAGGCGTTCTTCAGACGTTGTATTGTGAGGGACGTCCGTGGCCGAGTGGTTAAGGTCGTTGACTTCAAACCACTTGCCCCTCACCGCTGTGGGTCCGAATCCCGACAGGGACTTTGGATTCTTTCATTTGAGGAAGCTATCCAGCTAGCTTACGGAACGTCGGTGGTTCTACTCAGGTGCCCGTTCGTGCCTGAAATAATGCACGGAAAGGCACCTGAGGTCTTCTTCCACCAGTAAAGCTGGAACGTCGCGATATGACCTATACTGTGTCGATGTGACGTAAAACCCAAAACAAAACAAAAAAACCAAAACAAAACAAACGTTTTATTGTATCCCATCTGTTCGAACATATCTTTTCACTTATCATATTCTTCTCATCCCTGTTAAAAAACGATCCTATACTTCACGTGCGGGACATCTGAGAAAAGTATCCCGGCGTGGCCAGAATAGGGCGTGCTGAGGCCTTTGTCAAAATTGTTAGACTGACTATATTTCTTGTAAAGTTGGATGCTTTTATATCATTCCCAACATATATATAACAACAAGTTCCACTTTTAACACAAAATATGAATCAAAGTATTAGTAAATAATGAATAATGATTAGTATAAAGAAACGTGACAGACTAACCGGGGTATACACGCCATTTAAAACTTATTTAACACATGAATGTTGCACAGTTTACAATAGGGTGGGTTTTGGACTTGTTGTTTCTCCACATGCTGGTTGTATGTGTGCTTAAGAAAAAGAAACATCCGGTTAACACGGAAATGTGGAAAGTGTGATTTTAGAAACCCCCCCCCCCCCCTTCCACAAAAAAGCGATGGATATGTTCATTATAAATTGTTCTGTTAAACAAATGTTAAAGGTGCTCTGTCAATGTGCAACAGCAACACACGAAAGAAGGTATCTTGAATTCAATCCTTGCTTTCACCGGCAACCAATGAAAGTCGTGCAATGTAAGTCGAAATTTCGAGTTACTAAGTCGAAATTTCGAGTTACTGAGTCGAAATTTCGAGTTACTAAGTCGAAATTTCGAGATAACTAACTCGAAATTTCGAGTTAGTAACTCGAAATTGGGAGATAATTAAGTCGAAATTTCGAGTTACTAAGTCGAAATTTCGAGTTTGTAACTCGAAATTTCGAGATAAGTAAGTCGAAATTTCGAGTTAAAAACATACACCTGGCACTAATGCTCTTCCGTACAATTCAGCTCAACATGTCAATAAAATAATGAGCACAATGTCCCTTTAATTTCGTTAATACGCATTTGATAATGTTTGCATTTTTTTATTTTAGGACTTTTAACATGTACAAGAATGGACGTGGGGACAACAACCGACCTCGTCGTCGAGGTATGGCTCGCCGGAAGCAATTTATAGGCGTTCTAGCTGCTGTGCTGGTAATCTACATCGTCTACAGGTCCTTCAAGCCAGACGGCGACAATACGAAGTACGAATCTTTTAATAGTAACAGGTTATCACAGAAAATGCTTGTTCAGGGTGAAATAAGGCAGCAAACATCAAAACTTGAAAGACCGTTTAACCTTCGTCCTGACTTAAACCGCAATGAAGAAGAAAAGGGGATTATTATTGACAACGAGGACACTGAAATAAATGGTAAGATTAGTGATAACAATGGAGGAAAATCTGGTGAAGAGGACTTAAACAATCCCTTATTAGACAGATATCATATTGCGAAAAGTTCTCTGAACGAAATAGATCAAAACATGACACAAGATAATACTATAAACTTGATGTCCAACAAGTCACTTACGACAGAATCTATACAGCGTATGGACCCGTTTCTATCCAAAAATAGAGAAAACATAACTGCCAACTCGACAGAGACGAATACAACGCTAAATTTCAAATCTTCACAGCGTATGAACCCATTTGTACCCCATAATGTAGGAAGTATGTCTTCAAATACAACTTATCCAAACACATCTAAGATCGGTGGTGATGTATCTAATGGCTTGGTAAGTAGTAATATTGAAGAATATAAGATTAAACTTACGGAAGACTTCGCCACACAAACTAAACAACTTGAAGAATTGATGAAAGATACTCTAGCTAAAGCCGGAACAAAGTTCTTAGATACCAGTCAACAAAATGAAGCAAGTCTGGGTGGAAACATGACAAAATTTGTCGAATCTTTTTCGGCAAAAACGCAGAATGTTTTAAACCTTGCTAAGGATTTATTAAGAGACAGAAACGCTAGTATAGCAAATCAAGAGAAAACAGTGCTAAATAATACAAAACTAGAACAATTGTTTACCATAGAATCTCAAGATCTCGTAAAAATTGCAAGTGACCTGTTTTTGAAAGCGGATAAAACAGGTTTAGAAATCAAAGACGAAACAAAGGCGAAATTGTTAGACAAGTATGCATTTCATGCACAGAAACTAAGAAAATTTGCGTCAAGCTTGCTTTCAAACACAACTGTAAAAGCAGCAGAAAAACAAGTAAATAACATTAACATACCAGGGGACAGTGACTTACCACAGAACAGTAACTTACCACAGAACAATAACTTACCACAGAACAGTGACTTACCACAGAACAGTAACTTACCACAGAACAGTAACTTACCACAGAACAGTAACTTACCACAAAACAGTAACTTACCACAGAACAATGACTTACCACAGAACAGTAACTTACCACAGAACAGTAACTTACCACAGAACAGTAACTTACCACAAAACAGTAACTTACCACAGAACAATGACTTACCACAGAACAGTAACTTACCAAAGAACAGTTACTTACCACAAAACAGTAACTTACCACAGAACAATGACTTACCACAGAACAGTAACTTACCACAGAACAGTAACTTACCACAAAACAGTAAACTTACCACAGAACAGTAACTTACCACAGAACAGTAACTTACCACAGAACAGTAACTTACAACAAAACAGTGACTTACCACAACAGGTAACTTTCCACAAAAACAGTAATTTAGCTGTTTAAGTCAGAAAATTATGCTGTTTTTTGTTTATTATTTCTTATTTGTTCATTTGTATGTGATGTCTTCTAGGGCAATATGTTGTGTACCCAATGTTATGTGTTTCTTTTTCTTTGAATATTAAAACGTATGAAAAACCACTTGATCTTAATGGGACAGGAAACCAAGACAAGGTGGCATTAGCTCCTATACATTTTAAAACAATTTTCGCTCAAGTTACCGAGTATGTTTTTGCATGTCTTTCAGTTTAAAGTGCCCGAGTCGATCTATGTAAGAAATTACAATTTTATGTTAATAGGCTTTTAAACCTCAGTGAAGTTCCTTTAAATATATAATTTAAGTGCATTAAACTGATATTTACTACGTGTTTTGTGATTACGTGACTTCAATTTGTATTTGTAGAGTAAGTGAATTAAATGTATGCATTGTATATTTATATGAGTATATGATAAAAGTGGGATCATTATATAATATTATTTATATGGATGTTAAATGTTTTTTAAATAAATATTGACATTATATAATTGTACGCTGATTGTATATTGTCCTTTACAATATTTTCGAAGTTTAAGTACATAGTTCCAGTTTAAAGGCTTACTCTTTGAAATTATAGTTTTGAAGGGAGAAAAACGTTTTGCCAATATGAAGGACATTCGTTGCCAAAATTCCAGACATGTAAAGTGTTCCTTTAGAAAACTGCATTTGAAAATGCGAACGTGTATATCTAGCATTTTTGACTGTATCCGTGCACAGAAAAAATATGCCTCTTAATCCAAATTTTTAATTGAAGGCTCCCGCTTTTAATTTACAAGTTCAAACATAAAGTTCTTAATAACTGACCTTACATGGAACTGACCTAACATTGAGCTTTGAATTCAGTTGTACATACTTTTGTTTTGTCTAAGGTACAGGTCTCTATAAGTGTGCAAACTTGCTCATGCATTTTATGCAATGGAAGATACGAACTTGTAAATTTGTTATTTTTTTCATGTTAGGTCAGTTGTTCGTATAACGCAAATAATAACGTCACGTCGAAATATGAGGGGCATACTTTTATTAGTGGCAACAACTCAATTTAACCATGAAGTATATGTATATTATATCGATGGAAAGATTATTGATGTTTCAAACCAACAACTTAAAGATTATCACACCATCTGATATATCTAAGAATTCCGGATACCATCCACTAATTTTTCCAGGTTATACTTAAAGTAACAGCTGTTTTGTTTGTTTGATTGGGTTTTACGTCACACCGACACAGTATAGGTCATTTGGCGACGCTCCAGCTTTACTGGTGGATGAAGACCTCCGGTGCCCTTCCATGCATTATTTCAGGCACGAACGGGCACCTGAGTAGAATCACCGACGTTCCGTAAGCTAGCTGGATAGCTTCCTCATGAAAGAATCCGAAGTCCCCTGCCGGGATTCGAATCCACAGCGGTGAGGGCCAAGTGTTTGAATTCAACGACCTTAACCACTCGGCCACGGACGCCCCTAAAGTAATAGCAAAGTTTTTCTATGAAAATATTACTTAAATCGAGTTATATTCTCTTTGACAATATATAAAAAGTCACGTGGGTTGGCTACCTAAGTAAAGGTGTTAAAATATAATTGCAATACCTTTTTGTTAGCCATTGAAGTAATAATATATAATAAAATATATAGGACTTTCTAAAACAGATATTATTCAGAGCGGCGCTATGGTGCAGTGGTAACACTGTCTGCCTACCACTCAAGGGGTCGTGAGTTCGATCTCCCGCTACTCCACTAAAAGAATGAAATGACTCCGAGACTGACAAAACCAGTATATAGAACTCTTCAGACTAAACATATACAGATACTAATTGGTTAAAAACATACAGATACAGAAACGGATCAGAATTCAATACAAAAGACCTAAAGGAAAAGAGGAAAAAGACGTAACGGAACAGACAGCAAAATGCATACAAAAACGTACCAGTACATACAGAATGGAACAAGATTCAAGGACATCATCAATATAACAAGATAGAACAACTAATAACAGGAGAACTAAAGGAATACCACAACATTTCAGGACAAAAACGAAAAAGAAAACAGCAAATATTTCAAAGCAGAATAGACACAGAACATAGAAAATAAACATTAAACGGAAATAAGCAAACCAACAAATTAAACGGAAAACCATAGAAGTTAAATAACTAAGCTGAAAGGGACATAATAATCAAATGTTAAGTAGAAACAGCTTAAATCAAAATCAATTTCAATAACATGTACTTATGTTTTACGTAAGTGTATTTTTCCAATACGCCTGATGTCATGTATTTATCAAAAACTAAAGGTAAACAACTCTTGATTATTGTTTACACATTAATATTCTCTTGGTTATTTCCCTTATTGTGTTATATTATAGAGGCATGTAATGTAAACTCAATCGTCTTAGATACAAGGTAATCTGTCATGTTTGTATGTGTGTTCATGTCTGACATAATTCTATCTGACATGACTATATGTGACATGACTATATCTAACATAACTATATCTGACATAACTATATCTGGCATAACTATACCTGGCATAACTCTATCTGGCAAAACTATATCTGACAAAACTATATCTGACACCACTATATCGGACATCACTATATCTGACATAACTATATCTGGCATAACTCTATCTGACATAACTATATCTGGCATAACTATACCTGGCATAACTCTATCTGGCATAACTATATCTGACAAAACTATATCTGACATAACTATATCTGACATAACTATATCTGACATCACTATATCTGACATAACAATATCTGACAAAACTATTTCGGTCATCACTATATCTGACATCACTATATCTGGCATAACGACATCTGACATAACTATATCTGGCACAACTATATCTGGCATAACTATATCTGACAAAACTATATCTGACATAACTATATCTGACATAACTATATCTAAAATAACTATTTCTTACATAACTATATCTGACAAAACTATATCTGACAAAACTATATCTGACATAACTATATCTGACATAACGACATCTGACATAACTATATCTGGCATAACTATATCTGACATAACTATATCTGACATAACTATATCTGACATATCTATATCTAAAATAACTATTTCTTACATAACTATATCTGACAAAACTATATCTGACATCACTATAGTCGGGACATCACGTATATCTGACATCATATATCTGACATCACTATATCTGACATGAACTATATCTGAGCATCACCTATATCGGACATCACTATAATCTTGACATCACTATATCTGACATGCACTATATCTGACATCACTATATCTGACCCAAACGTATATCGGAACATCACTATATCTTGACATCCTTATATTGACATCACTATTATTCTGACATCACATATATCGTACGACATCACTATATCTGACAAAAACTGATATCTGACATCACTATATCTGACATAACGACATCGACAGTTAAACTTATAGTCGGACATCACATATATCTGACAGTAACTATAATCTGACATAACTATATCTGACATCACTATATCTGACATCACTATATCTGACATCACTATATCGACATCACTATATCTGACAAAACTATATCTTGAACATCACCTATATCTGACATAAACGACATCTGACATAACACTATATCGCGACATCACTATATCTGAACATAACTATATCTGACATAGACTATATCTGACATAACGACATCTGACATAACCGACATCTTGACATAACTATATCGGACATCACTATATCTGACATAACTATATCTGACATAACTATATCTGACATCACTATATCTGACATCACTATATCTGACATCACTATATCGGACATCACTATATCTGACAAAACTATATCTGACATCACTATATCTGACATAACGACATCTGACATCACTATATCGGACATCACTATATCTGACAAAACTTTATCGGACATCACTATATCTGACAAAACTATATCTGGCATAACTATATCTGACATCACTATATCTGACATAACTATATCTGATCTGACAAAACTATATCTGGCATAACTATATCTGACATCACTATATCTGACATAACTATATCTGACAAAACTATATCTGACAAAACTATATCTGACAAAACTATATCTGACATGATACCTATATCTGATATAACGAACTTCTTATGGTAGTAGCAATAATGGTTGTGTAATTTCTCTGTCGATACAAGGTATTTTTGCTTCATATAGTTACAAATGTACACCTGATATAAGGTTAGCATAAACTAATCATTATAAAATTAATATCTATACATAAGCCATAGTTGTAATAACATAAGTAGACAATTACTAAAATTATTTTGTATTAACGATAACACATGAACGAAGCCATGACCCAAATAATTAAAAGAAATACTGGTGCTGATAATATACATGAGTGTATGTTACAATATATTGATAGTGGACCATTTATTTCATCAATGTTGTCGTCATTTGTATTGTATTGGTATTATATTGTATGTTACTGTATTATATTATACTGTACTGCACTGCACTGGCACTGTACCGGTGCTGTACTGGTGCTGGTACTGTACTTTTCTGTATTGGTATTGTATTGACTTGTACTGTACTGTACAAGTACTGTATTGGTACATTCCTTTACTGTACTGGTACTGTACTTGTACTGGTACAAGAACTAGTACTGATACTAGTACTAGTACTGTACTGGTACTGGTACTGTACTGTACTTAGATGTTATATAGTTACATTTCATATCATGCAAATGGCTTTTTAGCCTAAACAGACTGTTGTTGTTCATGTGTGGATTTGGAAATAAACAATTCTTCTTCTTCAATATTATTTATATCCTAAATATATGCAAATCTTTTGCATTTTTTTCCTTCTGTGTCTTATTATATTTCAAGCAGGGATTATTATGCTGTTCACTTGTGTGAGGTTTGGATAAATTATAATA